CTTCAATTTGAAGTTACTCATAGCAAACCGGCAAGGAACCATGCCACCCACTCGGCTCTTTGGATTTTCCATGGGCGGGATTCCCAAAAGAAAAGAAAAATATACGAATTATAAGTGATTTAAATGAGTTTACTATACATCATTTACAATGTGCGTTTTTCAACTTGTTGCTAGTTAGTCTACTTGCCTATGACTCTGAGCAGTCAAGCAGCATCCACACTCTGATCTTAAAGCTTCCCATCACAACATCACGCCTCAGCCAATCACATATTCCGTTATATTAAACAAGCACCTGCCACTGTGACTTAGTGACATCTTGCGCATCCTTCAAGCTTGCTTAACTTCAACGTCTCCGGCATTAGTGTTGCTGTGGCGTGACATGGCGTGACTCGGGGCGAACTTCCCTAGACTCCCCCAGAAAATCAGGCTCTTCGAAAATAAGATTTTATTCAAGCTCTAAGATACATAGAATTGTTCAAAAAATATCAAAGGCCAGAAGTTGCTCTGAGGACAGGAAATTGGAAAACACCGAAACGCCGAGGGACGCCACGGCGGCACCACGGCAACACTATCCGGCATCAAAGATAGTGTTGGTGTAAGTCTGGCCAGGCTCACCACGACGGAACCTTTACTATTAGCCGCACTTTACTTACATAACGATAGTTGACGCCCATAGCTTTTTCTCCTCATCGTTTTATCTTACCGTCACACCGTTGTATCTGTCTCTAGTTCTTAGACGAATATACTTCGGTCCTGTCAATCATTGGACCGAGACACCAGTGAGGCTGCAATTGACGGCAGCCTTTCAGTTGGACCGTTCCTTGACACACCATTTTTATTTAATTTCTAGCTGGTATCTCCGGCCTCCTTTCGCTACAATAACTTCGGAATGTCTTAGCTATACATATATTATTCTTCAATAATTATTTCGAGGGTTGAGATTGTCTTGTAAATATTTTAGGGTGTCAAGGAGCGGTCCTTCCTATGCCTCAGCAGCGCTTAACTTCGTTTTTGTATCCGCATGCCCTGCAGGAACATTTGAAAATCTAATAAAAAACTTGAAATGTTTTCTTGTATATAGGATCTCATATATAGAACTATCCATGTACCAAATATGTATAGTATGAGCTCAGGAAAGCCCAGACAATAGTGTGTCAAGGAACGACCGAACACTGTACATGAGCTTTCCACACCATGACGTCGAGATGAGACGCAGCAAACAAGAAAAACAGCAAGACAAGACAGAACCTTCCATCGTCATCACGACCCTTCAAAACTGTCAGTTTTCTATGGTGGTACCCCTCGAGACTGACGCTGAGCAGCAAGCTCCGGACGTACAGGGACGTACACACGTTCTAATTGTTATTCACTTGTTTTCATCCGGAACAAATCTGGAGTATATTTTCCCTGACGT